AAGTTGACGTCACAATTTGCAGCAAGTGACTTTCGATTGAAATTAAACAGCATTACCGATTTATTTTAAAAAGTTCAAGTTGAAGAACATTTTCTATCTAGTTTATCTAGATGTACTACTAAAGAAACTATTGCAGTTTTGAAAAGGGATGGTGCTTGTCCTTTGTATCAAAGTTCTTTTTTTTTATCGGAAATTTAAATTAGGTAACAATGAGACATTTTACACATACACTCATTTTGTTTAATTGAAATCAGAAAAAACGACACTAACATCACCATGTATCAAGTTAAAGGAACTCTTGTAGATTAATGAAGATATTTAGTTATCCAGTTGATACGTATAAATCACATATTACTTCTTTAAAGAGGAAGTAGATAATACAAAAGTTGATGACTACCTTCAGTTCTCCTTAGATTTTTTAAAACTTTAATTTAAACTTTACCGCATAGTCAGCTATAAAAGACCCCGAAATGATAAATGTAAAACAATTCAAACGAGAAAACCAACGGCTATTCTATGTACAAAATAATAAACGAAAAAAAAAATATGTTACACAGCAACTAACGACAACCACTGAATTAAAGGGGTCCTGACTTGGGACAGGCCGTACATAATGTGACAAGTTTAAACTAGTGTGTAAGCGCCGAACCCTTCTCCTAACCAACAGACCATTTTAAAACAGATTGATAACAAACTTGGAAAAACACATTTGAAGTAAACTGTATCGAATTGTTTATTTCTGGTCATGTTAACTTTGAATAAAAATGTACCAACAGTGTAAATAAATTAAACATTGTTTAATTGCTTAAACTTTAAAAAAATTACATAACGAATACGATTACTGTATTTTCAGATGTCATTGATTAACCAGTCAAGTGGTGTGCAGTGTGAAAATATAATTAATTAAACTTACATAATCATGACAGAAAAAAAAAACAAATTTTAAATTTTTCCGTGTTAAACAGATTTTTATACAAAAGGAAACAGAAACACACTTTAAATTATTTTTATTATCTTCAGATCAAGCAAAGGTTTTTCGCAGAAACAACTAGTCAGCCTATGATAATTAACATGATATTATCTCACATAAAGTATTTTCAGTTGTTGAATAGGGTAGGTCCAGTTGTATATGAGCAACGAGAAAACAAGAATATAATTGCAGTTTACTTTGTTGGTAAGTATATTAAAGTAATGTACAAAACCGCCTTGGTTGTCTCGTGGTAGCGTGCTTAAATTTATTGCCGGAGGTCGTGGGTTCAAACGCCGCTTGGTCAAACCAAAGACTTCAGAATTGGTATTTGCTGCTCGTTCGCCAAACACGCGACATTAAAAGAGTAAGAGCAGAGACTGGTCGGCTCGAAGTTAGAATAAAGTGTCCAGTTTGGGTGACAAGTGCTCCTCCGGACTGTTACCGTAGCACGCTTGAGATCTGTCTCATCATGTCGGACTAGTACAAAGCAGGGTTCATTTTCATATAGCATCAACATGTGCTCGTCCTGAACATGCATTTAATTTGCCACTAAACATTTAACAGCCATCCATTCACAGTAATGTTGAGTACTTAGCAACCCATAAATTGAAATGCTCAAGAAAAACCGAAATAGGAACGAAACAAAAAGATTAGGATGATATTTTTATATATAAAAGAAACATTTTCTTTAGTTAATAAACACTTTTATAAGAAACCAATGATTGTCGGTTCCTAAAAAAAATACACAAGGAACACCTGTATGGTATCATAAGCAACATTTACATTGCAAATGTGTAGATAATTTGCATTAAAGAATGATCAGGAATATAAGCTAGAATAATTGAAATCACATCTATTAAACATATATATAGTGGACTGGGACTGTTTGTTTTTTTTTTTTGCTCTTTGGTCGGGTTGTTGTCTCTTTCACAAATTCTCTGAGTCAGTTCTCTGTTTCATTAATCGATTTCATGATTTGCATGAACAATCTAATATTTGTTCAAGGTTACATTGAGAAATTTGCCTGTTTAAGGATGCAGTTAATTTTACCCCTCTTCCGACCCTATGTGTATACTTTTTTAGTATAATTTTCTTTAATTAAATAATGAAGAGCCTAAATGCTCAAGTTACAATGTTGAAAAATCCTCATAAGTTGGATCTCAAACTAGTCAGAATGTCATGCAATAATGTCTTTTTCAAGTACCTTCTCTTTTCGATAAAAAAATTGTACCGGTATACATATTTCTATTTATTGTGAAACAAGGAAGAAGTTGGTTTTGACAGTTTTTTAATCAGATATATTTCTTATGTCCTTGAAAAGTTCATGTTGTTTTATTTCTAAAAAATTGTTATGTAGATTGTATTATATTATAAATTATAAGGGCAAAAATGAACAGAGATGTGGGGAATACGTCAAAAAACTATTTTTGGTTAAAAGCCAACATACATGCATTGTTACAAATCCAAAAGGTACAACCAGTTCGAGTTAAAGTTATCAAGGATTTCCCATATGACAGTTTAATGAACCATCAGAAGAAATGGAAAACAATGGGGCGGGTTATAATCGCATCATTACCTCCGTTTTGAGTACAGCCAAACATGTGGGCTTGGTAAAGTTTAAAGGGATGATAGGATTAAGATAATCATAATTCTATTGCGCTATGTATAGACTGATCATACAATATATTGACCTGGAACAACGCGATACACGATATAGGTTGAATGTACATGACGTTAAGCTAGGATGGCACTATGGTATATCATTATGAAGACATTAAGACATTGTAGGCTTACAATGTACCATACAGCATGTGCAATATATTGACTTTAAACTACACGATGTTTTAGACTAATATAGCACAATGTTGTATCATCATAAGGTCACTAATCATACAATGCGTTTGGACAAAACAACAGAATGAGCAGTTGAAAGAACATCAGTTAAATACAAAAATCTCACCCTAAAAGTTCATAACAACTGTTTCAAGGAATTATCAATAAAACAACTGGAGTTAATAACATCACTATGATTTTAATATTGCATAAACGACAAGGGTTGCCCGGAATATGGTCACTTGGAATTCGAATTTCCCGGCAGTAAACCCCTTGCTAAATTTAAGCGTTTATTGCGATGCGCTGGGTGTTAAAATGCTCAGTCACTTTCTTTCGAAAATTTTGACGTTAAATCGGATGCCTTGTGTTGAGAGAATGGCACGTTAATAAACCCTATCAATAATTTTTCAGAGGTTCATAGGTGGCCTATTGCAAATATCCAACGTGTTCTTATTTTCAATGCAGTCCAAATTTCCCGGTCATCATACCTTTTTTATTACTTGTTAATGGTTTGTTTTCTTTAGTATGCCTAAAAAAATAGATCGGATACCATCCCTCTATCAATACTTCTAACATGTGTAACAAAATCAATAGGACCCACGCCTCCATCTTAAAGACAAGCAGCATAGGGATATCCTTGTTAACGTATACATGTAATAATGTTCCATCGAAATGATCAATTAACTGCCTGAATTTTTCAACATTACTAGAGTGGGAAATAATCCGAGCCATGTAAGTACTACTACTTTCTAGTATTACAATTGCTAAACAGTACCTTGGTCCCAGTACTGTCCCAATATATAGGTGTCTTTTATTTTCTGGAATGTAAACACATGTTGAGTTGTTAGCAGGTGTTTTTCTTAAAACTTCTGCAAATAAAAATTGACTGTTCAAAATATATATAAGATATATATGGCACCACTTGTTTAACATAAATCAATTGATCTTGCAAATTTGAGTATTCATTACATTGGTGATTTCCCTTACTGTCTTGACTGAGTGAAATTGAACATATGTTGCTCGGTTCACATGTACATGTATTTCTATATCTTCCATATAAAACACCACACTTAACAAAGAGGAAGTCCTGAATATTATATACCTAAATTACGTAAGTGTACGTACAACATGTACAAGCAACCTTATATTAATCTCTTCTCTTACATTTCTTTTTATCGTCCTTATAAGCAACGTAATATTACTCTCTTCTCTTTTATCTCTTCTTATCGTCCTTAAAATCAACGTTATATTTAGTTCTTCTGTTATATCTCTTCTGACCGTCCCTACACCAAGCAGGTGTATATCTCTTCTTACCGATTTGTTCCTTTGTTCATTTGACTTCACATTGGGGTGTCCTAGGAAGAATGAAAGGACACTAGCATTATAGATGTTATACTATTATAGCTTCGCATTCCGATATAAAGATGATAGCATTTCCCTAAATAGTTCAACTTTTGGTGACTATGTTGAACGCATCTGTTCTATCAAACTTGAAATAAAGGATACAATAGATGCAGTTACGTTTGCTTCTTGTCTTGATTTTCATCTAGAAAATGACCATGCGAGTCGGTTAAAACAATCGTAAAAAAAGAGATGAGTTCAGCATCACAATTTTGAACTTCCTTTGATACGTAGCTATATTTCCTCAACGCCTGCATATGGAGTAAATATCTCTTAGTTTATACGATATTACAGAACTTGCATTTCCTATTATGAGAACCTCGATAGAGGCTTTCTGCTTGCATGATATGCTGAACTTAAGTCTCCAATACATGATGTTGAAGTTGATACTTTGAAAATTTTACTGACGGGAAAGATATTTCATTGATGACGACATAAATGTTCCGATTGTCGTATTAGCACAATACCGTCCTCTTATCCTATAAATTAATGTAACATCTACATTGAGAACATGATTCATATAGCAAGACATGCTTATCTACAATTTTCCCCAAAACATTAATCCTTGACACGCATGTCATGACGTTAGCAACACTGACAAATCGTTAAAACAACAACAGTATAAACGATGAATATATAGTATACTTGTGTAACCGTTGTGGATTTGACATTACCAATTATCTGTCCAAGCAACAATATACCTAATAGTATATAATTTTGACTAAAGAATGCAAGATAAACATGATGAATGTAATTTAAAAATAAAATTTGGTTAATTTCAGCCTTGACCGTAATCACGACTGCTTCCAATATGAATTTCACCACAGTCAGCCTGTACTATGTGCACTGTATTAAAACTAGGTCATCGATCATGAACGGTACCATCACCACACCATTTTGGAGTAACAAAACAACGACATCAGGTACACATTTCATTCGAATTTTTAATATCATATAATAAGCCACATTGATTCTGACGCTGAGAGTTGCTAGCAAAAACAACAAACAATACCACGCCTGAAAAAAACTGCAATTTAGACAACCTTAACAAATCGAAAAATATCTTCATAGTTTACAAACTTAAGGGAAGTTACCGCAATGACCCATTATATACGAGAACACATATTTGCACTATCTACCTATTTCATGAGTATTACCAATCTAGATAAAAGAATAATATGATTCATATTTTATAATTATAGGCTTATTACTATATTTCTACATATTTTTGGATTTTAAAATTTCCTTTGCAATTTTAATATTTGTTTCGTGAGTATGAGCTTGGTTTCGAATGCTTGATATATATATTTATTTGAATGTCAGTTTATTCGTCCGTTTGTCCGTCCGTTAGTACCAAATTATTCTAAGCCACAGAATGACACATAGTTATAACGCTATGCATCTCCCGTTTTGTTTTGTTGTTTTTAGTTGGTTTTTTTTCTGGGGTTTCTGTTCAAAATCATGGAGTTCATCTGATATGGAGTGAAATTTCCCACACCACAACTGCTAAACCAGTGATGAATTTCAATAAACTTTGCCGATTTGTCATGCCATAATGCCATAGTTTTGGGGGTTTCCCATGCAAAAGAAAGGACTTTCGTTTTATGTTAAAGGTGAACTTCCCATATGAGCAACTTATTATGAACCGATGAGATGATTTCAATCAATATTTCGCGGTTCTTCATGACACAATGCCATTGTTTATCCGTTATTTTAATTTTTAATCAGAAAGATTGCTGGGGTTTACCCGTACATAAAATTGGACGTTGCCATTTTATATTATAAATGTAGAGGGTGGACATCCTAATCCGTAATTCCTTCTTAACCATTGAATTGATTTCAATCAAACTTTCACGTTTTTTTTATGACACGATTGCATTGTTCACCTTTTGATCAGCTTGTTTTTTTTTGTTGGTTTCCTTAACAACAGTATGGTTTTCAATTTCATGATATTGAGGTGAACATTTATCTATTCGCAACTCCTCGTAAACCTGGGAAAGCATTTTAATTAAACTTTAGCGGATTCCTCATGAGATAATGTCATATTGCACCTCCTATTGTACTTGTTGAATAGAATACCACACCTTCCACTCCTTCTGAACCAGTGATAGGATTTTAATCAAACGTGTTCGCAGTTTTTTATTACATAATGAGAACGTAAAACCCTTATTTTCTTTTCGATCAGAATGGTTCTAGGGGTTTAGAATCTAAATCACGGAATTTGCCCTTTCGTTTTAAAAGGGTGAACACTCTCAATCCGCATCACGTCCTAAAACAAGTGAGTGGATTTCAATCAATCGTTTGCAGATTCTTCATGGTATAATTATATTGTGCACCTCCGATTTTACTTTTTTATCCGAATATTTGTTGAGAATTCCCTTACCGATACATGGACTTTGTCGTTACTCTATTTGAAGGTACCCATTTTGAATATGTTTAGGGTTTCCCTTACCGATGAACTTTGCGATATACGGGTTATCATGATGTAAGCTTTGCATACAGTACATCAAGTTGATGTTAAAAGTTGATTCAAACAAGGTGCTTATTAACACAAAAAAAAAAATTCTGAGCACACCCGTTTAAGACGGAATTCATTAATTATAAACTTTAACTAAGTTATATTTTCAGACACATTGTCATCGATGAGTGAAACGTCAGAACTAGGAATAATGGTTTCTATGATTGGTGTAATGTTTATGATGATTATCCTGTACGCAGCTGTCTGTCGATTGTGCTCCTCTGAAAAGTACCATGATTCTTTGAAGCAGGCCATATTCCATATTGCACTAACTTTGTTAACATATTTTCTCTACCTGTTTGACACTCTGTCTGATGTGTTCCTCCTCATACATTACTGTAAGATTGGAGAATATTTAATTTTTTTTATTATTATGGTTTTCACCGTCTTGCCAGTTCTATTCATAGCGACTTATTTTTATGGCAAAGGTGTTGGAAACAACATTACAAAGTACTGTGAGACTCTGTGTGCAACATGTGTACATAAATGTCGATATTTCAACGTGGTGATCAAGATGCTATCAGTTTTCATGTCGAGTCTGTATGCAGTAATTTTGCCAACACTTACGTATGTAATTTAGTGTAAATATATGTTTATGGTAAAAAACACACACATCATATTTTTTTTCAAACACGTTCTACATGTTTATTTAGAATAGAATTGTAAATGTTATAATGTCATAAGTAGTTGTTATCATATCAGCTGAGATTTGTATAAATTGCATAATTCTAGTTTTAAATGAGAAAAATAGTAAGCATTTTGTTTTATAATGATGAATTAGATGTGCAATGTTTTCTGAATAATTATTGAGATAGGTATAAAACTTTGCACTTTAAAGTTGAAAAGGTAACGTAAATGATAGCTAGTTGCTCATTTTGAAATACAAAACCAAGTAATCTAACATTAGTTAAATCATTTCCAATACAAATCTCAACTGATATGATAACAAATACTATGTTATAAGTCCGGTCAGGCAGGACTCGCTATCACTGTTATATTAGTACCAATTGAATTTTCGTCGAGAAAGCTTCCAAGTCAAAATAAGCAAGGCTTTACATTGTGATATTTTAACAATGACAATATGGTAAAAATAAGAAAATTGATTTGTCGGGTACTCTTTGTGTTTCACGCATGAAACTACCCCGCTCCCCCGTTAGCATTGCCTTGGTCGGGTAAGAGATAGATTTCAATCAAGCTTTCGCGGTTCTTTATGACACAATTTCATTATTCAAAGAAATGTTAAATCTACCTTATCTGAAAGATATTTGCGGCAATCCTATAAGTTGATCTTTAGGTTCTGTTTCAGACCTTTCAGTCCTTTTTCAGACTTTTTAGTCAGTAAGAAAAATTGTCAGAAATTATCTGCACAAGGTATAGTTGGTTTAAAAAGTTTATCAAAAACATGAGTTAAAAATAGTCAATCTGAAAACATAAAACTACTCATATTCGAGTCGTTCATTTTTCAATATGATATTTGAATTCAACATTGTCTTCCTTGCTTTAATTGACGGAAAGATGAAGGTCCAATAAGGGCTTATTTCAGATTAAAATTTAAAGCACATCTGATGAAAGATTTTTTACATTTTTTTAACACTTAAGTGTCTTCTTCAGTCGATTCAATTAGTTTATGTTAGGGATTTGAACTGATTTGGTCATTAAAAACGCTCAAATTCAATCTTAGATATGAAAAATCTATCAAATATACCATAAAATGTCACATTTCAGCTGGTGTTTGTTTAAAATTGAAAATGCCGCATACGTGTTCAGGCTCAACAGTTATATATGTTATGTTTTATCATTAAATACAACATATATTTAAATATTAAGACTGAACACAATTGCGACAACTTATATTTTAGACAAAAACCGTCTTAGAATTAGCACAAATGCTAAAATTTAAGTATTTTTTCAGAAAATAGTGATGCTAGTACCTGATGCATGTCCAATGTATCTTGAAATAATAGCCCATTTTATGTAACAAAAGTATTCTACTTTCCAATTAGTAGCTACAAGTTTACATTTTCAACAACTTTGTAAAAAAAACAACTATATTTTGAGGCCAAAGGAGTCTTACCGGGCCTGCTTTTTTTGTCATGATCGATTTTTGTGCAGGAATATACAAAATGCTGCATAATTGATATAAATGCTATTACGACATGTCTTAACTGAAAGGGTAAACATAAGACTGACCTAATTTTAAAACACAAAAAGACTAAAAAAACAAATCTGAAAGGAACAATTAATACCACAAAATAATGGAATCGATCAAAGTACTGCAGTAGGCACTCACACTATATAAACTTGGTCAACTGACATACATTGATTGCCTCAATCGTATTTTGCATACCTTGTGGGAATTGTTTGGTTTATAAAGAAAGCTCTTCAACTTCGTATTTGAATTAGATATCCAAATATTTTGATTCGAGTGCTACTGATGATTATTATATATGTAGACAAAAGGCGTTTCTAGTGCAATTATAAGTCTTGAATGATCAGAACCTTGCACCAGCTGTGCCATCTGCAAATATTGTACATCTTTCTGGGGTTTACATTATTTGACTTCTACTATATACTGTAGATAACCAGCTCGAATTTCCTAAAACGGAAATGATGTACGATCTTTATGAATATAACACACCTTTTGGTGATCTAACTGTATTATGCTGAAATAAAACCTACTAAATTGAATTTTCAATCGTATGTACTGATAGAAAGTATGCTATAGACCGATTGTAACTCTGCTTTCTATGAAGACAGAAATGCAACTCCTCTGTGAAATCATGCTACATTCATGGATATTTGAACTGCAGAAGTCAACACAATTATTCAATTATTTTCGACTTACAGAGTTTATTGCTACTGCTGATAAATCAAGAATATCATATAACATGACTCATTCATGCCTGCATGTCATAGAATCGACAAAACTCTGTAACTTAAAAATAAAATCTCTATTTTATGAAGATGTAGATATTTTGAACAAAAAAATGGTGTTGCTTTTGATTTCAAACCAATTTGGCAATAGTTCCCTTAATGATCCAATTTTCAAGTGTTAAATACAATATACACCGACTTACGAAGTAAATGATATGTAATTTGCATTGACTTTGTTGATATTTCACAGTCCAAAACTGGCTTATCCATGTAGAATGGTAATGTTGGGCGGCTGGCAGGCATAGAAAAGATGGTACTGAATTTGTGTAATTTATTCCACCACGATTGTCAACCCAAATACCTGAAATTTTATAGACAAATTATACACACGTGGAAGTATAGTTGCATATTGAAACGAAACATAAATGTTGCATGTAACATGTGTAAACGTTGAATGGTCAATCTTAAGTAGTTAGGTATGTATTGCAATGTTTACATTTACAGGTATGCTCAGGCACTAGCACAAGGAAAACAACCGGATAGAAATTTAGAATATACTGTAGCTTACCTTACTCTCGTCGAAGCTACAGTAGAGTCAACACCACAGTTAACAATACAAATATACCTGTCGATTACGAATACACAAACCGAAACTACTCAAACACGTAAGTAATTATAGAAATCAAAATGAATAAAGGAGGAAAACATATTTAATTCATTTTACATTTGGGCCAAGATAAAGAGGACAATATATTAAGCGACAATCAAAAGTTATCAGTCGAAATAAAATTCAATCGCAAAAACAGTCCACAAAAATAACACACTGGACAACAAAAACACCACCATATATCAGTTCACTAAGTAGGAAAAGTAGATCTAAGTTCGCAAAATGTTTTTTTTTTTTTTATTTAAATATTAAATTTAATTGAAAAACTTTGTAAAAATGTTTTGCTAAACTTTTTTTTCTTTTCTGAAACATGTTCCCTTCTTTCATTTTTTTTCTCTTTGTTAGATCTTGTCTAACATACAAATATTCAAACGTTCGTAAGACTTTTTTTTATTGATGTGGTTGTTATTAACGCTATTGGAAAATTTGTCTTGAACAAGCTGAGAGAAAATTCTAAAAGATTCTATATATTTTGAATGTAATGGCTCGATGTCATGTTTAATTCAAATGTCTTAGAAAATTGTGATTCAATGGTTTATTGCCTTTTTGTATAAATTATCGGCGGATCCAGAGGGGGAGGGGGTGTGCTGGGGGCCTGGGCCTCCCTTTCGTGGGAAAAATTTGGTTGATTGTATAGGATATCACTGAAGCATGACTGTAGCAGTCATGTGGGCCTCCCTTATACAAAGTTCTGGATCCGCCACTTTCAAAACACTATTATATGCATTCTTTGGTTGTTTCGATGCATATACCAAATCTACCGACCAATTGAAAATAGGGGTACAGTGCATATTTGTTATTTCATAGGGGATTTAAAAACAACTGATATTATTTTCTGTGGTTATTTATCTTTAATAAACATGAAGGAATATGTTAAACTGTTCATTATATATTACCCACACATGCATTGTATTTTATTATAAATATAAAAAGGTAATACACAGGATGTCAACATCGATTAGGTGTTAATCAGAATTTAAAGTAATATTAGTAAATATTGTGTATATTATAAATAAACATCTAAGTTCTTCGCGCCCTCTTCAATAACACTAGTTGCAAATTCGTTTAACTGGCATAGGAGATACATGCAATTATAATTTCCGAAACATATATTTTCGCTGAACACTTTTAATGACTGTTAAGTTCAGGCTTAATGTTTTATATATCAATAGATTGTGTCTCTCCTTTAACATGTGGTAACAAAAGTTACATTCAGATTTATGTTACAGAGATAATTCGTTACATGAGTATAGCTGCATCTTCCCTAGGACTGGCTTGGTCTTTGAATGCATTCAAGCATCAATATCGAAAGACAAAACAGAACCAAGAAGACAGATTTTTGATCAAATTCATTCACTGGATATCACGTTTTGCTGAAATTGTGCCACGTATTATCTTAATTTCGCTCTTTATGGCTGAATATAGCTATCTTGTTTTAATTCTCATAATTTATCGTGTTCTAAATGGACTCATGTTCGTCTGTTGTAAAGAACACTTTTTACTGGACGACATTTTGGGATTATTTGGCAATATATTTTGCTATTCTGTATCTCGCAATGTTCGATGCCAAAAGAAGGAATACTGCGGGGGATATTTTTTCCCATTATACTACATTTTATATTATGCAGAAAATGTTGCCATGCTGTATCTTTGGTATAGTGATGATCCTGCTTTACTTAAAATAAAGATAGCTTTAGGAGGAGCTTGTTCAAACCATGAGTGGTATGCACCTTGTGTATTCGTTGTCGTCGTTGTCGGATTTGTTGTTCAACCGTCACTTTTGTTAGTGTACTATCGGTTACGGAAAAAACAACATAAACCAAAAGATACGAACACATCTGAATAGAAACATATTCGCGACCATTTTTTTGTAATTACAATCTCGTTTTCATCGTTTGTACGTGAATGAGATTTACAACCAGATTTGAACTTGCATGAGACGGGTGTAACATATGGCGCAGTATCTGTTTGCTCTTACGGAGCACTTTAGTTCATCCTAAGATTGTGTTTTGGTTCTCCTTGCTCAGGCTTTTGTTTTCTATGTGGTTTGTTGTTTATGTGTATGTGTTTTTTGTCGGTTTTCAATATTTCCATGGCGTTGCAAATTTTTGTTTATTATTGTTTTTTCAATGTTCCCTTGATATTTTCAATCTTGCTTTCAGTAGGAAATTCAACCTGGTTAAATACTTCTTTTCATTAAAAGACAGGCGAAGAATACCAAAGGCACATTTAAACGCATAATATTATGTCGAAAATAAACTGACAACCCCATGGGCAAAAAAGAAAAGACTAACAAATAACGGCACATAAAATACAACATAGAAACCAAATACTGAGCAACACGAACCCAACCAAAAAACGGGGGGGGGGGGGGGGAGGAGGTTATTAGCTGCCCCGGAAGAATAAGCAGATCCTGCTTCACCTGTAGCACCCGCCGTGTTGCTCATGTTTGTACAAACCTGGTGATAAGTCTAATTCGGTAGGTCACATGCGGGGAAAGGGGACGGGTTTGTAGTAACACCTATTGGAACATATCCATTGTCATCTGTGAAACAGATATTCCATAACAGTCAACCAACTCGTGATGATGACCGCAAAATTTACGAAGTGACGATTTAAACTTCATCACTTCATTTAATTAACAATGCAATTAAATAGTCAATGTGCTGTCTTTACCGTTATACATAATGACAATCTGAAAGAAATGCACATATTAATGTAAATAAAGTGCCGCTCCAAATTATTTGCAATTCGTGAATTTAATAGTTTTGTGTTTGAAAGAAAAAAAACGTTATCTATTCTTAAATACATTTACACGTTAAAAAAAGAAAATATATGCAACTGAAATTTACTTGAATAAACTACATTTAAAAAAAAAAAATACTGTTCGATTTAAGAACAAAATTGTCTGAAATGCTTGATTTTATAGGTAAATGAAGTGACTTTTTCTATACTTGATACAATGTCATGAATTTAACACCGAAAAGGCAAAGCGGAAAGTTGTCAGGAGCTAACATGTTTTGCAAAAACTATTTATATATAATTTGACTTAAATTGATGGTAAAACACAACTTTAAAAGATATTACAAAATATAAGTAATCCCGTAAAATGGTTTATACTAGGCCTATATATTTTGCCGAATAATTACGATAACAGAATAATAGCTTCAAGAGAAAAAATCCAAAGCAGATCTAAATATAGAAAAAAAATATATAAAAATAACTATTCAGAAAACAATTGAAGTTCTTTCCAACATTGCATTTTTATTGGTAAGTAAGTGTGATAAAAAAGTAATGTCTAGGTTAAAACAGTCATATTCGTTGTCATTAAATAGATACCAGTTTTGTGTAAGTTCCGGTTTACGTAGGGTCATACCCAGAGTCGTATGATAGTGGGTCACATTATAGAGATTCCACAAATAAATGATTTCTTAAACTTCCGGTTTAAACAACGTCATTTCCAGTTGATCTTTGTCAAAATCATTTGTCACCCAACTCTTTAAAAAACCATAACTTGTCATGTATCATTTTGAAGAAAACATCAATTTTCCTTATTTTATTTTTTTTTTTTTGAATTTCAGGGGTAAAAACAATACAAAATTGTTGGATTGTAACGGACGTGATGTACCATTTCGTCATTTAAATAACTGAAACATTTAGCACCGGTTCTTATATTTGACAGTTTCAGAGAGCTTCTCTGAAGGCAAGACAAAACTATTAACTTCGCCTAAACCTTTGTATCTAAGAACTCAATGATCCCTAATTAAAAACAATAGGTCTAAACAGTGACGGTCTGTAAGTGACATCAAAATACCGATATTTGAAATAGTGAAGGAAACATGGCTTCTAAAATGTCTTTCGATCACTTCGGTCCAACATACCAATTTTCCTTATAATGTAACGAACAATTTATAAGAAACATATCAATACTTGTTTTGTTATAGAGATAATGAGCTCACAAGAAAAACTGTTTTATAGATTACTTTCCCAAGGTTACCAGGTGACCTTTATAAATGTCACATGACTCCAGTTACTATCATAAGTATCCCATGGCTTTATGATGTAGCTTTTCTAAGTGTTTATCAATAATCTATAGCTTAAACATTTGGGGCAATGAAAATATATATAGTTAGTAGGTGTTGTATTGAAATTATGGACCCTAGAAATGATTTCAGATTTACTCCATCTCTCCGTCAAGTGTTGGTTTTCTTGACACTGATTCCATAATATAAACCTACAGACATGTAGCAATTGTATTTAAAATTAAACATATTAATCATCGGTGGCCGAGTGGTCTAAGTATTTACTACTGTAATCACTAGCCAGTCAACACTGAGGTTGTGAATTCGAACCCCGCTCGTGCGGGTGCACTCGACTCCAATCTTAATTAGGATTGTCAGTTTTCCTATCGAAGGTCGGTTGTTTTCTCCGGCTACTCCGGCTTCCTCCACCAATAAAAACTGGCCGCCACGAAATAGCCAAAGAGCGGTGATTAAAAGTGGCGTTAAAACACCAAAAATAAAAAAAAAAATCAAATCAAATATATAAATCTTGTGTGTACATGGTGTGCCGATGGTGATAATCTCAATATATATATACAGACATATACATGTAGATATGGCAAATATGCGACGTATTATGTTCAATAGCAATTTTGTTGAAAGTAGATATCGTTATATTTTAGAATGTAACTAGTATAATAATGTAAATTTTATAGCTAAAACCATCAACTTGTGTATAACATTGTAATCAATTCACTATGTATAGAAACTAAAAATCATTTGTAAGATATTGTCAAAATCTTTAATATGTAGTTTTAAGCCTTGATTCATAATTTTTTATGATTCCTGTCGTTCTCCGCTACATGTGTATATCCTTCATTGAACAATGTAATGATAACGACTAATTCATTGAATATGTATTGTAATAAATTGAATGTATATTCTATAAGCATGATAAGCTGTATCGCTTTTGAATAAATTGTTTATCATTATATACCTTTTTTGGGGAAATTAAAGATATAATGTGCTACTTCCGGTTAAGAAAATATCGCTTCCGGTTCATATGGTAGCTTACTTTCCCCTCATTCCAAAAGTGCTTGGTAATTTAAAAAAAATCGATAACTTGTTACTTCTGGTATACACAATATCACTTCCAGTTTCATGTGATGGGTAAGTGTATGCTGATTCCAAAAAATATGATGTTTAGCTACATGTTCATAAAATTGTGCAAAACTCCATTTCTGATTAGTTCGGTTAATCTTTTCAAGATCTTATCTTACCCAACCCTTTGCAAAGTCCACATGGCGTGTTGCTAATCATTGCTATTTTGCTTAGTTTCTTCTGTTACCTATTCTAACATCGGTCTCAGACTTCTTTCAAACTGAGTTTTAATGTGCGTATCGATGTGTGTTTGTTTATTTCACACTGACTAAAGGTATAGGGGGAGGATTGAGATCTCACAAAACATGTTTTACCTCGACCATTGTTTGCGTTTGTCCCAAGTCAGGAACTTCTGGCCTTTGTTAGTCTTGTATTTTTTTTACAGTTTTGTTCATTTATACATGTTTTGCTGAAGTAGTATACATTATTGTTTAGAGACCAGCTGAAACCCGCCTCCGGGTGCGAAATTTTCTCGCTGTATTGAAGCCCCATTGTTGGCCTTGGGCTGTTTTCTGCTCTTTGGTCGGGTTGTTGTCTCTTTGACACATTCCCGTTACAATTCTTATTTCTGTATGAAAAGTTTATATATTTGTTTTTATGTGAATCCAACCCTGATAAGTATTGTAGCAATCTACTAGGAGCTTTTTACGTAGGTCTAGCATCAATGAATCAGAACCCATGGCAATGATATATTCTAATAGATATAAGAAGATGTTGTATGAGTGCCAATGAGACAACTCTCCATCCAAGTCAAAATTTATAAAAGTAAACCATTATAGGTCAAAGTACGGTCTTCAACACGGAGCCTTGGCTCATACCGAACAGCATGCCATAAAGGGCCCTAAACATTACTAATGTAAAACCATTCAAACGGGAAAACCAAAGGTCTAATCTATATACAAAACGAGAAACGAGAAACACTTATGAACCACATCAACAAACGACAACTACTGAACATCAGATTCCTGACTTAGGATAGGTGCAAACAATTGCAGCGTGTTTAAACCCATTTATGTTAGATATTTCATATTCTTCTTTTTTAGTAACTTTAGCAATGACCATACTGATTTTAGGAATACGAATTAGCCGTTAGCTTGACAGTACAAATATTACTACCAATCAAACTATCTTAACATAAAGATTTTTTAAATGAAAGTTGCGATAATAAGATGAAGTATATTTGCCAATAGATCTGTTAGGTCAAATGAATCGAATATAAGATCGAGTAAAGCTACTTTCGAAGTTAACAGATTTTGCAAATTAAACATATTTTATGAAATTGTATGCCATAGTAAATTTTGGCCGTGTGAACTTCAAATAAAAAGTACCAATAGTTAATAAACTACACATTGCTCAATTGCTCAAAACATTTAGAAATAAGACATAACAAATACATAACTGTATTTGCAATCGTCCTTAATTTATAAGCCAAGTAGTGTGTAATATGAAAATGTAATATGTATGAAACCTACAGAGACATGACAGGAAATAGATAACAATTTTCAAACCTTTCCGTTCTAATTATATATTTTCTTTAAACGAAACAGGAACACACTTTCGATTTGTTTTTGATTATCTTCAGATGACTATAACACTGTTTTTAGAAACATCTAGTCAGCCTTTAACATGTTAAATGAACATAATATTATCTCACACAAAGTATTTTTAATTGTTGAATAGGGAAGGTGCAGTTGTTTATGAGCTACAAAACAAAAACAAGAATATAATTGGAGTTTACTTTGTTAGTAAGTACACTCGGTGATCTCGTGGTAGCGTGCTCGCATCGAAGGTCGTAGGTTCGAACGCCGGTCAAGTCAAACCAACGACTTAACAGATGGTATTTGCTACTTCTCCAACACGCACGCTACATTAAGGAATACGAGCAAAGACTCGTCCTGGAGTCAGAATAAGGCGTACGGGTAGGGTAACACGACTGTTCTTTTGGACTGTCACCTTGTGAACTAGCACGTTCTAAATCCGGCTCATCTTGTCATTCTAGTAGAAAACAGGGTTCGTTTTCATTTCGCATTGAGGTTACAATCAACCATTAAATATTATGGGCGCAGCCATTTTATGAAAATAACATGGTAATCAGAATTAAGAGTATGGCTAATACTGATTGATCGATATATGCACCCTTTATTTTTATTATTATAGACTTCGGGCACTCTCTGCATTATACCAAAGGCAAAATAATATATTTCCTTAGCCCTAACGGAACTGAGTTGTCTTTTCGACGCTAGAATGAGACACGTGTGTTAAGTGCAAAATTGATAGACAAGGGAGATAAGTACAAATTACGATAAGAAAAGCAACGGGAACCTATATTTTTTAGTTCAAAAATACTGTCCGAATAATTTTGAATTAATTCTAGCAAAGTTTCGTTAAAAAAATCAACTTTCTAAAGTCTGTATCTCAAAAAAGGCTATCAGCATCGCCTATGGGGAAAGTAATTATTTATTGCAATCTATACATGTGTTTGTCCAGAATATGCATTCAATTTGACACTGAACGTTTAACAGTTATCCATCAATCGTTATGTACAGTTTTTATGAGCATTAAGCAACCAATAAGTTGAAATGCTTAATAAATACACAACTAGTAATGAAACAATAAGATTAGGTTTGAAAATTATGTACAAAAAATGCAAACTCATTTTGTTGGATAAACATCTTAACACAAAGCCAAAAATCTTACATTCCCAGCAAGATACCTAAGAATGTAAAATCAGTAATATTAATATTTCCTACTAGAACTGAATCTGTATCTTGCAAATGCATAGATATTTGTCAATTAAGAATAGCAGGAATATAAATCAAAATTTGTGTCAGTTCATCTTTCATAATTACACCTTATATAAGAAAGCCAGATTTTGATTGTGATAGCCAGTGTATTTTATGCATATTCTAATATTTTTTCCTCATTTCAAACGAATTTGCCTGTTTTTCACAACTGCCGGTGAATTTGCCTAAAATACCATAGTATTCACCATTTTGGATATTCCATTTTACCCTCTCGAGCATTTTCCACTCAACATTTTTCGGATACGACGTTACATAAAAAAGCGAGCTAACACGCTAAGTACATGTATAATTCCCGCGGTTCTATAATAATATCCTCTCATCTTCAAAATTATGCATAAAACATGTTAATGAATTAGTTTCAATCAAAAACTATTCGGTGTAATTAAACAGATATATCATGTTATGGAGGGGTATTTGCGAAAAATACCAGTCTTGGGACGAAATTTCCCTCGCCTAGCGGCTCGGGAAATTTTACAGTCCCTTGACTGGTATTTTTTTGCAAATACCTCTCCATAACATGATATATCTGTTCAAAATTCTTTATAATGATTTAACAACCTAAAATATGTTAATGGAATCAATTTCATGATACTCATGAAAAGTCTCATATTTATTCCATATTACTTGAATAAGCGTGCCTCTTATAAATGCAGTAAACAGACATGCGTTTCCCCTCTCCTTGTGTGTAAATTTCTTTGGTGAAAATATGTTTATGAAAAAAAATGATGGGCCAAATGCTCGAGTATGTCATACAATATTTCTTTATTTCAAGTACGTTAACTTTTATAGGAAAATAGAAAATTTACCAGTTTACAGATTTTTATTTAATGTGAAACCAGGACGATATTGTTTATCACAATGTTTTTTATCATATTTACTTCATATTACCTTGTAAAATAGAGGCGAAAATTATCAAAAGGGCAGTCTAACTCATTAATAAAAAAAAAACTACTGACAACGTCATAGTAAAAATTAAAAAAAAAAAGACAAAAAAAAACAACATAGAAAACTGTATATTGCAACAACAACCACACCAAAAACCGGGTAGTGATCTCTGGTGGTCTTGAATGGTAAACAGATATTTCTCCCCATGCTGACTTGATATTGCTTTATATTTAAAAATGTAATCTAGATTCTATTATGTTATTAGGTAAGTACATAACGCGATGTGGGGTGTATATCAATAAGGAAAGGATGAAACGAGAACGATAATTCTAGTACCCAAAAACCTCTTTTCCCAACATACATGCATTGTTTCAAAATTAAACGGTAGCAAGTTAAGCTATCAAGATATTTTCCATATGACAGTTTGGGGTTAATGAGAAGGAATTGACAAACATGGCTGTCGAATTTGTGACGTTAAATCCGATGCCTTGTGTTTCGATAGTGCCACGTTCATGAACCCTTCGAATTACTCCTTGAGTAGTTGTAGGTGGGCTGTTGAAACAATATATTTTGACCTTATCCAACATATTCTTATTTTCAGATGCAGTCCAAATTTCCAGGTCAGCATACGTACTTTATTACTTCTTAGTGGTTTCTTGTCAATCAATCTATCAAACGTAATGTACTTACATCTACAATATTTAACAGGCGTCACAAACGTTGAATAATAATACATTAAAGTTACTCAAACGGATATCTTATATCAAAAGTGAAACTTTATAGACACAATACTTATTCTTGTTTTGTTTTGAATATATCATTCTTAAATGTGTATCAAAAAAAATCAGACCCAAATCTTCATTATCCATTAATACCCCCCTGGAAATGCTTTTTATAGCATATAGTTGTTTGTTATGATTTATACAAGCCTATCCAAATTAAAGGCGAATGTTCAAAATATGTGTACAAGACTGGACTTTTTTGTTTAAATAAAAGCGGTTGACCATGCACATGTTAGTATTCATTGCCAAAGTAACATCAACAATTTGCTCTACTATCTGTTTTAAGTGAAATGAAACCTTCGTTGCACAATTCACATGTACACACATATCTATAACAACGATAACGTCAACTATACTTCA